AACCTAAATCTAACCGTGAACACCACAGCCTCTGTGCACCGGTCCAACACAGAGCTTTACTGTGAATTCATCCTGGACAAACCTACCCAGTATTTTCATGCAACATTTGAAAAACAAAGTTAGCATAGCTTATTTTGTTTTGCAGGACATTTCACAAAACGAAAATACATAATTTATCAAAACCCATCATATACAAATCAAATAAGTGAGTAACATTATGACATCACATGTAAGTGTTATATAGTTTATCGAGTGTCACTGAGCAGTCTTTACCTTTTAATCTAACCTGTCCTGTCTTTCTCCATCTTTCTCCATCTCTGAGTGAAGTTAGCTCGCACTCTTTTCTCTCGCTGTGAAATACAGCAGCTGGACCTTTAGCTAGCAACATAGTGTGCAACATTCGATTTGTAAAGTCCTTAACTCTACTATTTCTGCCCTCTCCCACTTAACTTCCTTATTTGGCCCTCACACACTCAGATGTAGGTGCCCCAGTTACTTATTGAAAATAGGACAGTGACTGTGGATGTGTGTCTGTAGGGCACTTTTTCCTGCACACATAAGAAATGGGTGCAGGTGTTTTCAGTCCCATTGCCACAAGTGTATAAAATCAAGCACCTTTTCAAATACATCCAGTAAATAAAACTCTAGAAGGATGTGCTGTTTAGGTAAAGCCAGACTAGATATGTCACCTTTTGCAGGATTTGCAAAATTGACAAAACTCAGCAGAAATCTGAGAATGAGGCCCTTTACATTGTATTAAATGAAAATAAATACATGAAAACATATGAAATCAGACACAATAGGCAACAGTGTGGATTTAGGTTCGTAGTCATCCCATTTAAGAGCATGTGCACTAATTACATGGCATTTGCACTAATACTGAGGGTTACTGAGTGTCAGTGTAATTCCATGCTGTACAAAAGCTATCACATTAACTCACTGACTAATCTCAGTCAGGTGCATCAGGAGGATTAGATAGAAAATGGAAAACACACACCAATGCCTCTAATGTCATATTGTACATACAGTATACATGCATCTTAGGCGATATTAATGCAGTACTGTTTCAAATCTAGCAAAAAACAAACAAAAAGAAAATAAAAGCATGCATTGGCCTTATTTTTTGCACTGTTTATGATTTCTCCTGCAAACCAAACTTTGGTTGATTGTGGACTCAGAATGAAACATTGCCACTGAATAATGTATGACTCTGAAGTGGAACCAGCCTGAGCGATAGAGGATTATAACGAATTCCAGTGGCACATAGAAGTCAGTCCTCTTATCCGTTGCTGAAACACTGCTTCATATCTGAGCAAACATGAAGCTCAAAGCTTGGATTGAGAAAAAAAAAGACTCGGGGCCGTGCACGCCATATCTTCGCCGACTCCAAGCTCCTACATCAAAGTAGCACCACGCTCCCTCAGAAGTAGCAAAGTTTTAAGTATCCACAAGAAAGAAAATGCAGGAGAAGAGAAGAAAAAATCCACTCTGAATATATTTTCCAGCCGACCAGACAGACATAACAAAGTCAGTCTATGACACTACAGTAAATCACTTTAGGCTTCAGCTCACAATCTGTTCTCACTGAAGTAGTGGCTTGGCAAGTCAAAAAAGCATGAATATGAAAATATCAAATTCTTTGCTTTCAGTCATTCTGTTGTGGATACACATGTATCCTTAGGCTTATTGTCTTGGCTCACGAGTCCACCCCTTCTAAACTTCAAGCCACGGACTGCTGCCCTGAAATTCCCCTGTAAAATTTCTTCATGCAATTTTCAGTTCATTGTTCCCTGATGATGATTGCAAGTCCAAACCCCGAGGTACCAAAGCAGCTCCAGAATGATGCACTCCAACATCGTTCACAGTCAGGCTGAAGGTTTTTGTGTTGTTGTGCAATGCCTTTCCCCCCCTTCCAAACAAACTTGTTTGCAGTCAAAAATAGTCAAGTTTTATTTCACAGGTTGGTGGATCATCCAGATGATCTTTTGAAAAGATCTTTATACCATTTTCTAGTTTGTTCACCCCTGTAATGTATCATCTGCATATGAAAGTCATTATAATAAAGGCATGGTTAAATCTAAGAGGCCCAAAGTGTGCCTAGAAAATATCGCCCGCACAATTACACCACCAGCACCAGCCTGACCATTAATACGAGGCAGAATGGCAAAACTCCATGCTTTCATGCTGTTTATGTCAAAATTTGACCCTGATATCTGTATGTCACAGCAGAATTTGTTTGTATTTGAATTACTGTCGCCTTTTACCAGCTCGAAGCAGTCTGGCCATTCTCCTTCTGGTATCAATAAGGCATTTCGATCAGAAGAACTGCTGCTCACTGGATATTTCTCTCTTTTTCAGACCATTCTGTGTAAACCCCAGAGATGGTTGTGCTGGAAAATCCCAGAAGATCAGCAGTTTCTGAAACACTCTGAGCAGCCCGCCTGGCACCAACAACATTCAGAGTCCATTAAACCAACTTTCTTCCTTATTCTGATGCTGCGATTGAACTTCAGCACGTTGCCTTGGTTATGTCTATGTGCCCAGATGCACTGAGTTGCTGCTTTGTGATTGGCTGATTAGATATTTGCTTTAACAAGTAGTTGAACAGGTGTGCCTAAAAAGCTTCTGTGCATAAAAACACAGAAGTGCTGATACAGAGATTTTATAAACTTATAAAAACGTTGGACAGAGAAAGGCTAGCTGCTCGCCTCTGTTTAAGCTAAGCTAATATGCTTCCAACTACACTCTGCTGGGAAATAAATAAGTGTAGTTTCCAGAATTCTTGACGCATTTTTGAAGTAAATGCAAAGCAAAGCACCCTATTATATGTCACATCGGCAGCTGGCATAAATCACCTCGAGTAGATGAGAATGTCATCATATTGAATCATTAAACAAAGTAATGGACACATTAAAGGATGAAATAAAATTAATGAAATGTCAGGCGCAGCTGAAAACGTATTACTTACCAGTTCAGCAAACAAGTGCACCCATTACGTGAGCTTTCCTTCCTATGTGGGATTGGCTTCCTAATCACTCAAGCGCAGTCTTCAGTGGACTTGCTAGGTTCATAAGTTACAACAGGGTTTTATGTTTTGTTTTACACGTTGTTTGCAAGGCAATGGTTAAAAATTTTATTTTGAAATCGAGTCTAATTTTAAAAACATACCAGTGAAAGTTTAAATGCAGCAGAAACTGTTCTCCTGCTCTTCCTCCATCAGAAGAAACATGACTCTTATCCTCAACAGCAGGCAGGTGGATTTCATCTCTCACTTCAAGCTAAACTCAGTCTCATGCCCAAAGCAGTCTTGTCTCCAGCCCACATATAAGACAAAAAAAAGAGAGAAAATCTATTCCCGTGGTCTTGTCTCTGACACATCAGTAAACCTGAAGCAACTAAAAATGGTCTCTCTCTGAGGAAAGCCTGTGGGCCTCCAGTCTGACCCCGCTGCCTCCTCTCTCCTCTTCACCGCTGCAGCTAACGTAAGATTTAAGACGATGAGGAGGCAAATGAATTCACTCCAGCTGCAGACAACGACGGCACGCATATGTCATTTCAAGTTGTATACAGATACAACTCTGTACAGGCTCAGCAACATACACTTGAATCAGTGCACTTTTTCTCTGACATTTCAACACTATGTTATCTGTCACATATACAAGTGTAAACAAAAGGACTCCATAAAGCCACCTGGAGAGTAGGTTGCCATTAGATCAATACCCACAAGTCCTGTCTGTTCTCTCGGAAGGCTAAGGATAGCTAGAAAAAACAGAACGATGAAGATGATTCTACAGGTTGGGTTAAACAACCAGTCCGTGCCATTGTGTGGGTCTCAGACAACCAATGTTTGCCTTTGATTACAATTTGAAGGCAGATGTGACACTGAAAGAACTCTTTGTGGCTGGTTTGCTTGATGTGTTTGTGTATCTGTTCAATTCAAAGGTTAAAGCAAAAGCTAAGTGTAGGATGTTCATTGAGATTGCTAACTGACCTCTTGGCACTGATGATAGCCAACGTGCGCAAGCGAAAAGACTTACGATCACAGGTAAGAAATAATGTACGATGCAGGAAAAAGTTGTTGACATTGAGAAAAGTTATTTTTCAGAACAATTGGGATGGACATTTTTTTTTATTATAATTATTATTCTGATGTGTAGAGAATAACAACAAAGTGTAGAAAGAGTGAGGGTGAATGACAGGAAATGATCTGGGAGAGAACTGAACCCAGACCCCTGCAGGAGGACTATAGCTGTCAGTGTATGTCATAAGTAATGCTTAGCATGCTAACTGAGGTTTAGGTTTTCTTACTGAAATAGGAAAGAAAACCTAGTTTGTCCAAAGAACATTGGTGGGTGGTGGATATGTTATTAAAAACAACTTTATATATTGTAAAGCATTACTGGTGCCCTCACAAATGTGCAAGAGCATGTCATGTGCACAAATACACCTCCATATGACCTTGGATGCTGGCTTTCTCCTCTTAACACCAGAGAATATGGCAAAAAATAGAGATTAAGAAAAGCAGCTGATCTGCAAAATTATTAAAGTTTATTTTATTTGCATTTTACACATTTTAAACGTTTGAAAATGACAAAAGAAGTTTTTTATTTTTTTTTATTTTGATCATCACCAATTCCCTTGTTAAACATATTTATTCTTATTTTTTAGCCAACAGTTGGATGGAAACATTTTGCTTCTGGATTTAACAGGGAGTCAGTGAAGTGACGCTAAAATGGGAGAAATATCCTCTCTTTTTGGTTCCCTGTCAGTACTCTCGCTGCAACATTTTAGATCAACTCAAGGCTTTTCAGGGATTATGAATGGCAACAGTCTAGCCTAGAAGTAAAAAGGCAGGAAGTAGTTTTTCAGCATCACTCTGAGACAGGATGTTTCTAATTCTAGAGATATCGTGCAAACGTATCAAAGCAGTCCTACATATGTTTGATATTACATGGAAAGATATATCCTAGCTAAAAACCACTCGAAACCTCCTCACAGTGTTTCTGGAGGCTGAGGTAAGAATTAGGATTTATTCACAATTTCACAACAACTGACAGAAACCTCTCACCAACCAGTCATGTGACCAGATGTTGCCTGGTGGTTGCCAATCAGTTTCTAGTTTCATGAGACTTAAATCTGATTCAGTGTGTAGAAAGAAAACAAAATGACATGTTGGATATATTGTGTGTCTGTGTATTGGTTTGGTGATTTTTGTTGAATTCCCTGTCTTTTTTTATACTTATCAGAACTGAGAATCTAAAGATAGATGGTGTCAGATACTGTCTAAGTTCTTAGGTCCTTTGAGACAAGCCTGTAAATTCTGGCTTGGCAAATAAACTTGACAGGACGTGACTGGATTCGGGTTGAATACCAAAGCGACTTCAGTGTCAGTGTTTTTCTTCTTTGGCACTTCTGAAAGGTGTGCGTTTGTATGGCAGCTGAGTGTCGGCTTCAGACGGGCGGCTATGTGGACGTGTGTGTATCCTTCTGTCTCTGCGGGGCTTCAGCCTTCATCTTGAAGCTATCCCAGTAGGTGGGGTCTTCGTCTGTTAGAGGTGAGGCTGAGTCGATGAGCTCTCTGAACGACAGCACGGTAAATGTGGTGGGCGGAAGAAGAGAAGGCGGACGAGGCTGTGAGGAACCAGGAAGAAAGTTAATATTGTTTATCCTACAGTATGATAGCTACTCTTACTATTGTAGCTAAGTTTTCTTTCTTTTTTTAATCTATTCATTCCAAGTTCACATTTTTTTAATGGAAAAGTTATGCCTCCTTACTGCAGGGCATGTGTTGTCTGCTGGTCCGAGTGCTACAGCAACATGATGATCAGCATCCAGTAAACTCTCCTGCAGAATGACACACAAATCCAAAAATATGCAGTCTGGATAGACTTTGGAACCAATCATTTTAGGGTGTTTGGCACAAAAAAGGGCACACAGTAATGCCAATAGAGAGAAAATCAATAATTTATTTGAGTGGTGAGGAAAACTAAATTTTAACAGGCAGAAACCTCCAACAGGCCATCGGCATCGATGCTTGGGGTAAGTGCAAAGAAGAGGATGGAGAACCAACAAAAAACAAAATGCAGCAGTAAACACTCAGCAGGTTGGCGATGTGGCCAGTGATAGCTCATCGCTGCAGTTTCAAAGAGTTTCTGAAAAGTCAGAGAGGAAAGGAGACACAGAGGAAAAGTATGTGTGTGCACAAACTGTAAATGCACTGAGAGAGAAAGGAAGAGGTGAAGTGACCATTACGTCACAGCGTAGCTGGTTTACAGATGATATAGGGTCACCTGATCCAGGCCTAATGATAAGCTTATCAAAGAATAAAGTATTTAAGGTTAACATTAAAGAAGAGAGTCTGCATCACGACCTGGTTGTGTAGGAACGGAGCCTGACAGCTAAAGGCCTCCCGTGGTATTTTTGGAAGAGCCAGAAGTAGAGAGCAAAGTGCTCTACTGGGTACTATCAGATCTTTAAGATATGACGGAGTTTGGTCGTTAAGGGTTTTGTATGTGAGAAGGATTTTAAATTCCTTAAATCTGGAAAATATGATCTCTTTATAGTTTCTCTTAGTGCTTTTAATGGAACATGCTGGATCAGAGACGTTTTGAGTGAGCCTGGTAAAAACCCATGCACCAGGTCATCAGCTATGCTCTGTGACAGGATGTTCCTAATTTTAAAAGATGTCATGTTTTTTAAGGGCTTGAAAGAGATGACCTAGATCATTGTGGTGTGTTGTGTACCAATATGTTCTTTGCTCTACGGCAAAGAAATGTACAGGTTAATAGGGGGAGCAGAGCAATGGCAGAAAGAGGAGTTCTTTGCTCTGTGAGATGCACTCCTCTAATCTTCAGTTATCATGTTAGGCAGGATGAAGAAACACTCGACAGCCCCCCCCCCCCAATCACAACCACTTGTATTTCCGTACGAGGCCACCTATGATTCTCTCTGAAGATGCTCTCAAGGGCATATTCACTGTGGAAATGTGCATCAAGGTCCCCTCTGCACAGCACCCAAGTCCAATGTGTTAAACTTTCCTAAAAGCTGCTTCCAGCTTGTTTAAAGCGATCCCAAATTATATGCAATGCATGGAAGCTCGCGTGGAGCTCGTCTTGTTTTGAGCTGACCTGATTTGTGACACATTACTTAATATAAAAAAACATAAAATACACACACACACTCATGTTATCATCTTTGCACTTGAAACTAATCGGTCATCAGTTCTATAGCTGCATACAGTATTTCACTCTGTGTGGGAAGCAGCGATTGCTGAGTGCTACGTGGCTGGGAGGAGGAGAGTCTGCTGATAAAGAATAGCTCAGAGCAGCTCATTTCCAAAAAATGTAAGAAACAAACACAGAATAGCTTATTTTTATCCGTGTGTGTGTGTGAACTGAGCAAACATTTGTGAAGTGTGAACTAGCACAGCACTGATGCATTCGTGACACAAGTGGAAAATCCAGAAAAATGGAGCAATTATCAAATGGCATAGCAACATTTTAAATCTGAGAATAAAACCACAGACTACTTGGAAGCTGATGAGAGACAAAAATAGACTGAATTGCTGAGCTGTGACCTCTAATACACAAATCTCTAGATTTTAACAACATCTCTGGACTTTTATTTTTCTTCACAACACCAGACTCACTTCGAATACCCAGTCCTCTTCTTCTTCCTCATCTAGATGCATCTTGGTCTGGTGCAGTACCCGGTCCTGTGTGAGTGGCTCAGACGGCAGGTGAAACTCCACCCTCTGCAGGTTGAAGCCCAGACCGGTGCCGATGGCTTTGATGAAGCTCTCCTTCAGGGCCTTGATGGAAAGGGAAGAAACCCGATCAGCTGCATGCAGAAAATGATGATCTGTGTGTATGCGTGTGTCTTCATGTGTGGGATGGTGTGTGTGTATGTGGTGGAGGGTGTTTTGGCTAAGAAGAAACACCACTTAAAACCGCAACAGATGGGAGTTTGTGCACACATGTTTATCAGAGTGCACACCAAAGAAGGACATTGTGTGTCAGTGTGTGTGTGTGTGTGTATCCAGCCAAAACCGACCCTGCTCGACAACCAATAAGCCACAATAACACTATTACAAGGCTAATCGCTATGGCAACCGTTGAGCTCTGCCATTAGTCAACAGTGTGGTGGTGATATCAGTGCTTGACGTCTCTGTGCCACCCTCTCAATCGCACAAAATCTTTACTTAGCTCCACTGTTGCTTTTGCTGACCATCTGTGTGTGTGTGTGTGTGTGTGTGTGTGTGTGTGTGTGTATTAGAGAGAGAGAGCGAGAGAGTGTGAGTGCATGCAAGAAAATGAGAGCGAAAGGAGGCAAAAACCAAAGAAAATGAAATGAAAGCGCACGTCTCCGATGACAGCATGCAGCATGCAGCATGCAGCGATGCAGCGGGGCAGCGTTTGAGAAACAAATTTGCACATGTATGTAAAAAAATACAAGTGTGTGTCGCCTCAGAGGACAGCGGCAATGTTACGTTCTCCCTGTGCTTTCTTCTGTTACACACACAGGGCACAAGGTAGTATGGTTGCCATGGTTACCCAGTGGCGGTAGAACGCGGCGAGTTGCTGGTGCTCCGAGCCGGCTGATTGGATGGCGCTCCACTCGTGTGCTGTAAACTGACGAGTCATAATGCGGAAAAACTCCAGCACAGAGCTGCAACCTGGAGCGAATGAAAGAGGTGCGGGGACAAAAAAAATACAAAACCAAAACAGGAGGGGAAGAGAGAATGGATGAAAAATTATAAATGAGGGGAGGAGAATGAAGGAGGTGATGGAAAAGAAAAACAGTAATATTCAAACACATCCTGTGTTTGATGGAAGTGTTTCGCACATTTGAATTCTGTGGTCACACAGAAATCCAAATTTACACACACAAACAGCCTTGGCCTAGTCAATACTGTATATATATATGGTGCAGCAGCGACCCCTTGTGGTGGAATTTCATAGCTAAACGAGTCCAAAAATGTAGTCATTTCATATATTGCCACAGGTTTATCCTAACCAGGGAACCACAGTGTTTACCTGGCATGGCGGTCTTCATGATATCCACCCCGACCTGCCTCCCCTGCTCTGCAGCAAGCACTGCGTAGTCCCCTTGGTGGGAGAGAGTGAAACTCCAGGCCAGATCTGACTCTGAACTGACCTGTAAGGAGAAGGATTATATGTTTGAATGTATTAAAATAAATGAAGTCTATACTGAGCTTGACAAAAATCCAGTATTTGGGCCACGCTGACCCTCCCTGCACTGTGTTATAGATCTATTTCTGATATATTTCTGATATATCAGATTTATATCTGATTTTTAGTTACTTGTGCTGGAACACTTGTAGTTTAGTGAAATGACAATGCAGTGAAGTAAAATGCTGCAGTATATGCAGACTTTGAACTTTATGGAAAAAAGGAGTGAACCTTGCCAGGTGTTGCCAGGTAAGGTTTGCCTCTGGGAGATCGCTCCAGTCTGATCTCTGACCATGGGATCCCCATCTTCTCACACACAAGCCTCCTTAGCAACAACCGTCCAGCCTGTTGAGGCAACAGAGACGCAAAGACAGCTGTATAAACTTTTCTGAATAATTAAGGGAACACTTGATGATAACAGCAGAATACAAAGTTTTATAAACTTTGGGGACATCACTCTGTCCAGGTAATAAACATAAACTACTTTTGATTGCTTTGGTGCAAATTAAAGTGACAACAGGTGTACTGGAGATACAATATGCAACATATTAACGGCATTTCAGGTTGGGGCCACAGACTGCTGCTCTCTACTTTTACTTCAGTTTAGCTTTTTTTTTTTTTTACCAGTGTCCTTATCACTGCTGGTAGCTTGAGACAGGCTCTCATGACACTGTCTCTCTTCACAGATGAGAGCAGATTTGCACTAAGCACATGTGACAAGATGTGAAAATATCTGGAGATGCCATGGCAAGCGATACGCTGCCTGAAACACCATCTGTGAAGAGAACAGGGCGCCCTGCCAGTTCTGGTGTTCTCTGGCAAGAACCTGTGAGGAAGGTCCCGCCAAAGACCGTTAGGCCCTCATGCCACCGGAAACCTGTAGGAGTAAACCTGCTTGGCGTCATTTTTTAAGTCTCTGCTTTGCACTAAGTTCAATTCAATTTTATTTTATTTAAATAGTGCCAAATCACAACAACAGTTGCCCCAAGGCGCATTCCAGGTCTATTCAAAATACACGAAAAGCTGTGAGATGTGTTTTATTGTGTTAAGTAGGTAATGCGGAAAAAAGAAAAATCACAGCCATCTTGTGGTCATAATCAAGACACACTGGTCTTCCCAACAGAAGTTAACTTTACAGATTTAAAGTATCGTTACAGGTATCGGCAACACTGGCTCTTTGTTTACTTGGCTCTTGGCCGATACCAAGAATCGGTAAAGTTTAGTTTTGGACTCACCATAGCTGACTTTGCATCCTTGGCGAACACAAACTGCCCGATCCGATCTTTCTCCTCCCGCTGGATGCAGCGAGCAGCGAACAGCCAGTCTGACCTGCCCGGCGTCCACGATCCGCAGCGGAAAGCCCACCGGACGGAACCCATCTCCTCGCCCCCTGCTCCACCTCTGACATCCGGGCTCCTCCACCGCAACTTCGGGCTGCTTACGAGCTGCTAACGAGCTAAAGTCAGCGCGGCGTCTTCGAATGTAATGTTCAGAGACGTGCGGATTTTCGCCCAACAGACTTTCCTGTTTACATTTCGGAGTTGACAGCGGTGCACATGCCCGGAAGAGCCCGGCCTGATTCAATGTCGTCATAAGTGGGCGCGGTGGAGGATTAACCAATAGGAGCAATTAAAATGGCGCGTCACTGGCGGTAACTTCAAATGTTTCAATAACATTGGAAATACGACAACACTACGATTCAGTTTCCATAAATTACCCCCATCCCCGTGCAATACAATGACAAAAGTAGAGACGATGTCCGAATGAGATAACACCAAGTGCTTTTGTTTTATTTAGGTCTAAATGTCAAGTCTAAATCTCTCGAACCTTAATCGTCTTTACAGCTTTGAAACCTTAGTCTCTCCCGTTTCAGACGGGGCGCTGAACGCAGCATTGAAATTGCATTTTAAACGGTGCTGTTTGGATTGCGGTTTTTCTGTGTGATTAAGGTGAGTTGTTTTTACTATTATTACCAGTGGTGTTTTATTGGAGGAGCTGACGAGATGCAGAAAAAACATGAAATTTATGACTGTTCTGACAAAAATGTGCTGAGCCTCTCTGGTTACTGATGCCTTGTAGTCATCGAAAAAAATAAATAAATCGTAATTTCAACGATTTGGAAGGTTAAAGAGGGAAAAATGTTTAACCTTCGAGGTTTATCCATTTATATATTTATTTATTTATTTACATACAACTAGGTCTTTCTTGTGTTCTTGTGCGATAAGGTAACGCATTATCATAGTAAAATTCTTGTTACAACACAGTATTGTCTGCTGATTATAGACAGATAGTGACGACTCGCAGAGTATAGAGATGTTTGATGTGCTTCAGAGACACGTGAGGCATGAGCAGTGTTCCTACCCATCAGTATTCATCATAGTTACGAGCGATCTCAGTATTTGCCTGTCTTTAGATTGAAAGGTGGCCTGTAGCTGATTGTCCAGCTCCAATCCAAAATTAGGGCAACTGATTAAAAAAAAAACCCTTAGAGTAAATTAAAATACTCAACATGTGTTTTTTTATCTATAAAAACGCCCCCCAAACTAACTCATTCCGCTTAATATACAGATTAGTTCATAAGTATTTGTATGATGACGCAATCGGTGTAATTTTGCCTCTCCATGCAATCATGGTGTATTTTAAATCAAACAATCAAAATGTGATAGAATTACAGGCTTTCATCCTTAATCCAAGGGATCTAACAAAAGTACTGCATTAACTATAGGTATACAGTCTTTCAATTTTAGTGGCTCAAACGTAATTTGTAACATGACTGACAATAAGTTTTATGGCCAGCTGAGTCATAACTTAAGGGTCTGCTGTGGCACATCAAAAAAAAAAAAAGAATAAATACACTGAACAGCCCAGCAACATCAAAAAGCCTGAAAAACCATAGAAAACCACTGAAGTGAATGATGACAGAATTACTTTTATAGTTAAGCAAAACTGCTTTACAAATCCAAACAAGTCAAGAACATTCCTGAGGAGGCAAAAGTATCATTGTCAGTTACAATAAAGAGACACCTTCATGAATGGAAATACAGAGGTCTCTACAGTAAGGTCCAAACCACTGGTTACACCGAAGAAGAGGAAGGTCAGATTGGACTTGACCTGAAAATACCTGAATAGAAGGTAGAGATCCGAAGTGTACATGGGCATGTATGGCTGCCAGTGCAACCAGGTGACTAGTGTTTACTGATGATGTGTGTGAAGTGTACATGGCTGTACTCTCTGCTCAGATTCCACTAATGCAACTGTAGGTGGCTGTATAAACTAAATCGTGTTATCTGCTTTCTTTTTCGTCTTTTACACAGGGCTAAACAAGAAGAAGGGCTAAAGAACACTTTCACCCTGTGATGCTTCTCTACACGTGAGATTACCTGGCAGCAGCCCTTTCCAGGAGAAGTTGGACTGCAACCTGAAGCCTTCTTATAATATTAATAATAGCTTGTGTCTTATTAAAAGAAAAAGTGAACCCTCCAGTCAAACTTGAGCAAAGCAGGGAAGGATTTGATGACTTTTACCTCCAGTCTACCAGATCAACGCATTTCTTTCCAGCTAGCATTTCTTTAACCCCCAAGCCTTAAATGTCCTTACTTAGATACTCCCAGGTGGAAAACTTTAAAGAAGCTGCTACAAACGGAGCCACGGAGGAATTCCTCCCCGGTGTAAACTGTTGCGCTGCTGAAGGACAGCTAAGCTACAGCAAACTTCCACACTTCTCTCTATTTGAGGACTGAGTTTCCCTTTTACACTGAACTGCGACCTGTCTCTTTACACCTCTGTTTCAGTCCTTTCCCTCTGATACCTTCTTCCATATCTGTGCCTCTCTTTCTCATAACTTCACTCCTGTTTTTCCAGTTGTCTCTCTTGACTTGTTTTTCTTGCTCTCTACATTTCTGGGGGCTTCTGTCCCACTCCTTGCTGCCACACTGGATTTCTTGCAAATGAAGCACCTGAAGAGGAAGAGGAAGAGCAACTACAGCGTGAGGGAAACACAAACTCTCATCAGGGAGATCCACAAGAGGAGAGACGTATTGTTCTCCAGACAACAGGTGGAGATTCTTTTCTTTTCTTTTCTTTTCTTTTCTTTTCTTTTCTTTTCTTTTCTTTTCTTTTCTTTTCTTTTCTTTTCTT